ATACACAATAAACCTTAATAGATAAAATGATAGTGAAGAATATTCTTTAAAAAGTGGAAATAAGTATTAATACATTCTCTTATTTAATTTAATTTATTTAATACAAAATTAGTGTCCGAAATTCATATAGGTTTTTCAAACTAAGATTTTAATATTTAAGCTTCTGAATGAACTGCCTCGATATAAATATTTAATGCATTAAATTATATTTTTAGCATTTTGATTACATTATATGGTTGGGTATTCACAATCCAAATATAAATTTTTTACAGAGCATCTATCGAATATGATATATAAACTGTAATCAAAGTATTTATAAATTTGTTACGTTTATATGAAAACCACGTCTTTATAGTTATAAAAAGAATAAATTTATGATGGGAATTAACATGAAATATAGTTTGTACGTCGTGTTTCACTTTAAACATTTGTTAAAGAAATAGTATTGTGTTATTTATCTATTGTTACAATTTGTATGCACTAATCCACTTTTTTATTTAACCACATAATCACTTTTCGAGTGCAATTCCGTTCTATGTATTTTATGTTATACACTATAAATGGAATTTAGTGTCACTTATATAAGGCAAATTACAAAAATGATTAAGTCAGATTAATAATGAAACTTCAACAATACCATTGCTTTGCCGTTATCCTTTTTGAATCACCAATCAAGAAAAATATGCCGATTAGTAAACTAAAGTCAAATGGAGGTGCATCACCCAAATTTATAGACTGTCCGAGAAGTCTCGGTGTGTCCCCACTACCATCGTCGTGGAACCAGGAGCCAAAATAAAATAAAATATTATAGCACGGCGGAAAATGTGGTATTTTGAACGGGCTAGAAAATTGAAATCTTCGTTGTTGTGTAAAACAAAACTACGTCGGTTACACTGTTACACGGTTACACGCAAAGTTTGTAATAGCCGCGCATTGCACACAGGAGAAGGGTAACAAACGTGTAATAAATTGCCTAATAAGTTTATATTACCCAGTCCTAGAAAATACCAATTCTAGTTTCATGTTTTCATGATGTTTCAACTTGTTCCGAATTGAGACCAAAAATATGTATGTCATTCAAAATTAACATCTCGATAAAAACTAGCATTATTTAGGAATCATCAGCGGAGCCTTTTCTTTAAAATTAGCAGAAAAGTGCAGAGTTTTTTTGAGTTCTCGTTCCCGATTAAAATCCTGAATTGATTGTGAAAATTTAAAAAGCGTTAGGTATTAATTATGGGATCGTGCTGAATATTTTCTGGCCAAGATTTGCTGGCCGCTTTTTTGTAATTAAATGTTAATTTTTTTGCTAGAGTTTACAGTATGAACAAACATCCTAATATATCATAGTTCTACGCAAAGTAGTTGCATTACAAAAAATTTAATAATAGACCCCGCTTTTAAGGCATACAAGCCCGTGTTTGTGCACCATAATCAATAAATTTTATTATATGTCTATTATATATCAACTGGAAATCGATTTGATTAATTTTTAATGAGAACGAAAACTTTATTTTCGAAATAAACAATGAAAATTTTACCTTAATAGCAAAATCTGAATTTTTTGGTTAAATTGATTATTTACACATTACATTTACATTAAGTTCATGCAACGTTCTCTGAGGCAAAATGCCATTATACGAATGCGTTTTAATTTGTAGTTTGCAATTAAAACGCTGGCCATTATAACGATCTCAGTTATTCTTTTCGTTGTCGTCAATTAAGTTGTTCTTTTCAAATGCGATCAGTAATATTAAATAATATATTCAGTGGGTTGTTTTTCAAGTAATTCTTATTCGTGCGCATTAATGCTGCAGTATTATAGTTTTTTCGAAGACAGAAAATAAAAATAACATATGCTAAATCTGGCCTCATCACCTCACTCGCACGGACGCCACTCATGACTTGATTAACGTAAATATTGAAAATAAACATCAACTTCCACACAAAATACCGACTAGAATGGCGATTCTATTTTAGCTCTTGTACAATAATAGTTTTATGGAAAAGTTTTTGTTAGCGGAATATGCACCAAATCAAATTTGTAGGCAATAATGCAACGGGGACAAAAATTTGCGATATCTACAACTATCATACAAAGTAGCTTAGTCTTACCTTTAATGTTTTAATATCAATAATGTTCAATGTTTATTTGGCCTTCGTCAACTACATTTTTTGAGAAACATATGATATTTTAACTGCCAGTGTATGAACTTAAAATTAGTAAAATTATTAATTGAAATATTTTTGTGTGAATTATCATGAAATTGTTAAAAAGAGTTTTTTTAAACAGATAGAGGTAATGATATGGCTGTTTAGTAAACCATGAAAAAACATGGTTTAATGAGCTTCTTTATTAGTAAGTTTAGCCAAACGAAGAAGTAAAAATATGTAGTAATAAATGTTTGCTACGAATAAAACTATTTATTATCCATTAATTGACCACCTGCCTCAGTTCGGCTTGAAGGCAAATGTCAGAATGTAATTAACTGTGTAATAAATAAGGCAGTTAATTAAAAGAGTTATGTCAAATATTGGCATCGTTCGAATATTTCTGAGATCGACTTACCATTTACAAAAACTTCAAATAGCTCATGTCGGTCTCGTTCGACGCGATTTATTTCTAGAGGGTCATCAATCAGCAAACATGCATTACATGGATCATCTCGCTCCATGCTAAAAACGATTTATCGCTAAATTTAGGTGGAAAACTGGCACTGCGTTCCACGGCGAAATGAAAATGATTGCTTTTATTGTGTTGATGCTTGTCACACATTTGCTAGTATGTACTTTCATTGTTGTTTTTCACATTTTATAGTTCATGTACGTAAGATCCACTTACGTTGTTAACTTTTTCTTTAATATAATCCAGTAAAACATCTGCTTTATATATTTTGTTCGAATTAAATATTATCTTTATTAACTTATGAATATATAACTGAAGAAATCATTTTATCGTGATTTTACCTGAAAATTCAAATTGTTAATTTTCTTCTATCGACGTTTCAACTCATACTGAATTGTTTAATACCAAAATTGGAAAATTTTCTTATAAAAGAAGCTGTTCCAATTTAATTTTTTTTAAAAAAGCCATTTAATTTACTCGATAAATCTTCGTTCTTGCGCCGTTCACCCAGCCGTTTCTTTCTAATTAGCATGTTGAAATTTAAATTATATATATATATAATTTATATATTTATATATATTTATATAATATAAATATATATATATATATATATATATATATTATAGTATTATAAATACATATGTATATGTAATTTTCAAGAAATTAAACTTGCAATGAAGCAAATAGTATGCTAGCGTTCGTTTAAAATCTGATTAAACTCTTGAATCAAAGTTTGGCACATCAAAATTGTTTGACATTGACTAATCGTTTGTACATTACATTTACACACTATTAGAAGGATTAGTTCGATTGAAACCCGATATAGCTAACTGAGAAACAAAGGCAAATTATCGGGCGTGATTTTGAGTAATTTAAATCTGTCACGAGAAATTTGTCTTATCTCGTGTCGACTAACTCCGTGAGTAATGCATTCGCCAACATCTGGTCCGAGATTTATTTGTCCGCATACGCCAAATGATCGCGTGTGTTGATCACTTGATGTTTCGTCGTGGATTTAGTCATACGGATGTCGGGGCTGTCCACTTGCCCACAATAGCCAGAATACATTATTAGGTGGGCTCAGTTTTTCCCACTACTCTCCTACATTCCGACAAACAGAATTATTTTTTGAACACTCATAATGTATTGCACGAGCATGTACGACGTGTCCTACCTGTGTATTCTCTATGTTGTTTGATTTATGTCGAAGAGTTGGCGAACGTTTGAACTGCTCAAAATAACAACGATACTATTTTAATATTTGCCTGCGGTACTTTGGCTTATATGATCGGTTTGATTTTACCCAATATTTGATCATAATACACAATAATTTGGCTCATGTTCATCATGAACTAAAATAATATTAAAAATTTTTTAAAAAAAGTTTATGTGGCATATTATTGCCATTTTCAGTATTCCACATGATAATTCATTCGCGTGAGAAATAATTAATAACCCTTGCATAGAGTATGAAAATTGTATGTAAGTTGCATAATGATCGTGTATATGACAGAAGAAGTGTAAAAACAGAAATAAAACAAATTAGTTTGAAGTCCAATTGAAACAATGTATTCATTTATGCGCTTGTTCTAAAGTACTAAATGTAATAACTATTAGCTTTGAACTTCCATTGAAAAGCCTTGCAAATTGCCAGATAGAAATTGTAGTCTGTGGAGATTTTTCTTTAACGACCGGGTCATTTACCAGCTATGTGCAATTGGGGCATAACTGTATGGATAAGTGTATGCTGGGTAGGCTGCATATTCAGACACCAATGGAGTAGCAGCATAGGCCAGAGCTGGAGCGTGATGTTCTACTACTGTTTTGTGATGGACATCGCTTCGGCTCTGGTGTGATACGGCTTTTGGCACGGAAGCTACAACTGCTGGAGCAGCGTAGGCTGTTACTGCTGCAGGAGCGGCCACTAGCGCCGGGGAAGCAACAGCGACGGCTGGAACGTGTTGTTCTACTACTGTTTTGTGATGTACATCTGTACGACTTTGGTGAGATACTGCAGACGGGACCGATCCTACTACTGCTGATCCAACAACAGCTGGAGCAGTATATGTTGTCACAGATGCGGGTGCGGCAAGTGCAGGAGCAGCGTAGGCAACTACTGGTGCATGATGTTCAACTACGTTTTTATGGTGGACATCAGTTCGGCTTTGATGTGACACGGCCGTTGGTGCAGAGCCGATTACTGCTGAACCAACTACTGCTGGCGCTACCACATCGTGTTCTAAAACGACATCATGTACTGCTCCATACAAATTTCCTGGTCTGGCGAAAGCTACTGCCACGCAAGCACACAATACCACCTATTAATAAAATTTGAAATAAAAGAATAAAATACTATTTTTTATACTTTTGCTGAATGTTGTTATCAACTGAACTAATACATACATGTAAAACGTATTAAATTATAAAGTTCTATAAAATAAAGCGTATGTTAAAAGTACTCCTTAAAATGAATTTGTAAGACAAAACAATAATATTTTTGCGTACCAACTTGAACATTTTGATTTGTTTTTGAAGCTCTGTGGTATGTTCTGTCTTGGAAGTGTAGCGACTGATGTTTGTCCAGAAAACGTGCTCCAGTTTTTATACTTGGCTGGCATTGGCTTTGAGGAAAACCTTGACTCTCGGATGACGCGACACAGCGCAAGGGTCCCCTCTTTGTTTTGCCCCCTTTTTCGACCGTCATGACGTCTCTGAATCGGCGGAGGATAATTGAGAGTAAATCTCGATCTCGGCATAGGTGCCCTGGTATCTCGCAACGGCTGGCTAATCATAAGCGCCGCGACCGCCGCGACCGCCGCGACCGTCCCGCGACCTTCACGAAGAAAGTGCATCGAGTGCCGGCAACAATTCTAATTCTGATTGCTTAATTTTGAACGGGGTAATATAATATGATCAATGTTGAAACAAGATTAGGGTTTTTCGTATTTATTGATTATTGCATGATCGAATATTGATTATACATATTTCAATATCCATCAAAAACAATTCAACATTTTTATGAAATCCGTATTTGAATATGAATTCATATTTAATACACACGCACACATACACACACACATATATATTTATACATATATACATATTTATTAATCTAATAAAAATAAATATATAGTAATAATATGCAATATTTAATACGAATATTACTATACGAACATGATTAATTATTTTCTGCGAATATATTATTATATTCTGCGATATATTGCGAATGTTTACTAATGCTTATGGCTTTCTTATTTGGTTCATTACTACAGATCGTTTTTATTTTTCATAATCAGGAATATATCATATCAACGACATAATCTTTCCTATTCTTGAAGAATTTTTACGGTATCATTATTGTTTCAAATTTTGCTCTAGAAAATACTATTAATGTAAAGATCTTGTAATGTAAGATTAATGTAAAATACAAATCTATGTATGTCAGATCTATCTATGTAAACGACTATGTATTTTTTTTATTGTAAATCTGAAATAAGTCTGTTATTGCAAATATGGTATGCAGATACCAGGAAGACCATTGTTGTATATCAGTATTTTATATTCATTAATCATGTAGCATAATGCAAAATACTCGTTTATGTTTCGACCAGCTCTGCTTATTATTCATGTAAAACAGATTAAAAAAAAATGTTTCGACAAAGTATTAATTTCAAAACTTTTGAGCTGAAATACCCGTGATCGATGTCTGTCAGGATTCAGATTCTGATCTTAGATCAATAAATGAACTCGTACTGATTATGCTAATAACTCTGATACTTTGCTCTATACAGTCGGAAGTCAATCTCGATTTTTTTTTTCAAATGCCGCGGGCATTTAACACGCGGTTTCCGCTTATGTCAAGAAGTGTGCGCGAAAATTAATTAATAACAAGAACAAGGCTATTAAAAAGAAACATGTTTGTTTTTTTAATTAATTTAATTTAATATTAGTTGTCTTGTATAAATTATAACTTCTAGTTTAATCACCGAAAAGGATAAATTTACAAAGGATTATTTAATTAATTTTTTGCAATTCGTTTACGGTAAAATAGTTTTTATAGGTTCAAAAAACGTGCTAAAAAGTTTAAGTGTATTTCCAGTCTTCTATATAGTTATAATCGTGAGTTTAGTGATTATAGTTCACCACTAAACGTGAGCCCACTCGAAGTATTTAATATCTATGAAATGTATGTCATTAAAATTATTATTAGCATTGATTTATGTCGACGTGACGATGGCAATGATATTGAATATATTGTATAATAACTTTGACGTGTTTCCCAATATACAGCATCGTATTTGTGTATATCGCACTGATTTAAAACGCCAATTTTAAATATAAGAGTTACGAGCTTCCACGTTGCAAATAATGTATTGTTGTATTACATATGCCTAAATTACAAAGGTGCATGCCTATAATTTCGTTTCAAATTATATTTTTGTGTTTTTATTATTTCACTTTAATGAGTCGCCTATTACTAAAACATTCTCTCAATTAGAGCCAACCTTCAAAGAATCAAACTCCAGACTTGTATTTTGAAATCATAGATAAACAAGTATAATGTTTGAAATCATAATTGCGATATGTAATTCTTAAATGCAAAGGCCCTTACTTGATCACAAACGTTTTGCAAGTCACTCATAACCTATGAAGTATATCTATTTCAATAGCCATGCATTAATGAGCTTTTAAAAATATTTATGTTAATTTTATCTGAGCATTTTGAAATTTTATATGTTTAAAACATATGCGTTCAAGGCGAATTTATGGCCTTACAATTTTTGTTTAACTTCTTTTTTCAATTATAGTTTATTTCTTTTTGCTTATGTTTTTTTTTTAAATGATTGACTACTAAATATATTTGTTTAATTATGCCTATTTAATACTAAATCCCATATGAATATATATATATATATATATATATATATATATATACACCTAAGTCTGTTTTTACACGGTAGATTGGTTCCAGAAGAATCCGTGTAAAAAGAAAACGTGTAAAAAAAGACATTGATCTTATACAAAAATGGGTGATTTGTTCCTAATCTCTTAAACCTATTAAAATTAGTGAAAATCAAGAATTTTTAAGAACAAGAATTCATGTTTATTTTAGTTAGTGCTATTCACATTTGCTTTGACCAGTAAAAATTGTTTGTACGCGCTAAAGGGGAATTCACTTAAATCTTTAAGCTAGTGTTCGCAAACTATCGATACTATCGATGGTTTCAGACTTTTTTCTTTCATAAATACTTTTTTGTGATATGAACATACTTCGCAAAAATTAAATTTGACAAAAAAAATTTAAGCACATAAAATTTCAAATCGTGCTAAATGGAATAAAATCGTGTAAAAAAGTTAAAAATATTCAATTTTCAAACCGTGTTATATCAAAACCGTGTACAAAAAGACCGTGTAAAAACAGACTTAGGTGTATATATATATATATATATATATATATATGTATGTGTGTGTGTGTGAGTGCGTGTGTGTGTAGAATCTTGGTAAAAATACTTTTAAAAAAAACTTTTCCCCATTATGTCTTCAACGAGTTTACGGACAAGGCATATATTTCACACAATCCATTTGTGATTTTTCAAGTTAGTATTTTGTGAAACATTGTTTAATTACAAGTTTAATGTTTATATTGCCATAGTGCAGTGCATTACCATATCCTGATACCATTATTTATTGATTTTTCTATTTTAACAAGATTAAAATAACTAATTGTAAGTACTTTTTACTCTTTGTAATTTGGTGAGTAAATCGGACTATATTGTTGATTTAGGAGATATAGCATGTGCTATTTTGTTAATACTAGTAATTATTGTGGCAATAGAATTTAAAATATTTAAATTTTTTTATTAAAATGCAATGAATTTAAGAATAATTGCATTAATAATATTTTATTTGCCTTATTGTAGATAATTTTGTAATATTGTATGAAAATATTGTAAAATATTGTAAATATTGTTAATAATTTCTTTGTAATGAATTTAAGCTTCAATACTTTAACCTGCAATGAATTTGAGTTTAACACTGAATATATAGCTTAACCAAAAACTGAATTCAAACTTAATTTAGAGATCAAGATAATCTAGTAATAAAACTATTGAATTGTATTGCCAATTATTTATTTCTTGAATTCGATTTTGTATTCGATGAAATAACTCCTGTTTGAAATGATTATATTTTTGTATGGACAATATTATCAGTCTTTATTAATGTGCATTTTGTTATAGGTGAAAAGTCTCGATCTGCTGCGCGTCCTCCGAATCTACCAGGCGTGAAGCAATGGAGCCGAGTAAGCCAAAGCTGGTGTGTAATGTGCGCCCACAACGGCCGGTGCCACGACTGGTGCTACGACTGGAGCCGAGTCGTGGACCACCGTGCTGGATTGGTGAGAGACCGAAGTTGGAACCGACTTGACGACTGTCAGAGGAGCAGAGTACGCGAGTGGAGCAGCATAAGCCAGAGGGGCTGTGTAAGAGTAGGCTAAGCCGAGGTTTCCGGGACGGGCAACTACTACGGCGACGAGAGCGAACAACACCACCTAAATTCAATATACAACAATAACTGTCAGGTATTGTTGAGAATTACAAAACTTACACATTTTATATGTTATATTTTGTTAGAAATAAGCGTATACGTTATTTAGAAGCCTGATAAAATATTATCACATACAAAAGAAGTTAGATATATATTATATATAATGTAGGTTCTATTCTAACATACCAACTTGAACATCTTGATAATTGTTATTTAGAGCTTCTAGAGGTCTGTGTTGCTTCTCGAATAAGCTTTTGAAACTGTTTCTTAAGCAACAGTTGATTGTTCTTTTATATGTCGTCCGCAGCTGACCATGAAAAAACAGCTCGGCTTAACCAACGTCCGCAGATGACCAAAACATTGCAAAACGGGAGCATTTTCGAATGTATCGATACAACAAATTGTCCATTTAGTGAAAATGCATCGATGCGCCGAAAACAATAGTGGCAATATTTAATAATGATTGATATAATTATCTGATGTGCGTAAATCATTTTGGTGCGATACTTGATAAATTAATTTCAATATTATTGATGCTCATATATTGACAAACTATTTCACTCGAATATAAAATGCTTTATATGATTACAGTTAACTGCAACAAATTTTGGAATGGTTATTATTTATTACCTTTGATAATTATTAATTAAAATATATAAAAAACATAACAGTACGTCAGTGATACTTTCAAATAATCGATTCAATATATTAGTAAACCATATGGCCTATTGATCTAATAGATTTAGAAGTCTAATAGATTTAACTTAAATGCCTATGGCAAAACCCTCAATATAACAAGTTTTACTTGCACTTTATTAATAACGTTCGCAATAAAATACCAATGAATCGATTGTCAAATATTAGCAGGGAAATAAATTTACAAGAAATACCTGTTTCAGAAGTTCAAAGCTTCAAAATTAAATATATTTCGAGCAAGGTTCTTGCTGAATTGATATGATAATATATATGGTACATACGTCATGAATTTCTGTTTATGAGCTAAAAGGTTTATAATAAATATATTTATTCTCTGTTGTGATCTATAGTTTTTATCTCAATTAGAAAAGTTTTAATATATTTAATGATATGATACAAATGACGTAATACAAATCACAATATTATGATAGCATGATTATGATTAGTTAGCATGATTAGTTTTCAAATTCTATTTCTATTTCTTTGTGTGTAAATCAAAGAGCAAGTATTATGAACGACTTTTTGAATAGTTTAATTAAATTAATTAAAAATGTATAAATGTAATGTATGTAGTTAAAAATGTAAATGTATTAAATTTATTTACTAAATCTTGCACTAGGCCCACTTTTGTCTAGATAGGGAATATTAACATAGATATAAAATAGGTACTGTAAATAATAATTCGCATGTACATATTTACAACACATAGGCCTACTTATTAAACATTTTTATAAAAACTTTGAAAATAATTGTAACAATTACTTTCTTTCGAAGGCGACAGTGGTGCGCACCTGCGCCGTGATTTTTTTTTTATTTTTAAGAAGCCGATAAGATGCAATGCAATAGCGTAGGTACGGCTCGGTACTTGAACTGTTCAAGGACTCCCGCTAATATTAATGCGGTCCGGTGTTGTGCGACACGATTTGGATTTCTTTAGAAATACTTGCCCTAAATAAAAATATACTTCTGTGTCTTCAACTCAATCAACACAGACAGGGAAGTTGAAAATATTCAATTTTTTTACATACCTGGAACGGTAATTGATCTGCTTCGTTGCGGCATTATTATTGCAAACAGTTCGCCCGTGTATTTAAATCCTACTTATTTCTAATAACTGAGAAAATTATACAACTTCTCAGTCACGATAAATTATACAATGGAAATTAAATAGGTCAAAGAATTATACGAGGGTTTTGAACCCTTTCCATACAGAACCTAAAAATATTGAAATACTTCTAAAGTTATACAATAAATTATACAAATTTTTCATTGTTAGTTAACTATTTCTCTTACAATATACGTTAAAAAATTATTCAACGTGTAATTCAATTATTTTACGTGTCATTCTAATCACATAGTTTCAACATTAGGAATAGAAATGTTAAAGTGGCCTCTTAATCATTTTAATAAAGTTATATGAATTTGAATATATTTAAATAAGAATCGTAGTATTTCAGAATAGAAGAATCTTTGCTAATGTTAATTGCTTGTTTGTATTGAATCAAGGCATCGATTTGAGGACATATGATCGACTATAGTCAATCTGATCATTAAAATCAAAGTTATTTGCATATAGATAAACAAATTAAATAGCAAATATCTTAATTATGAAAAATTGTTGCAGTATTATTTCCAAAATATCGACCGTTATTATCGATGCAAATGTAAATGCTTTATTATTGTAATGTAAGCATATTGTTTCTAATTTGTCATGCAATTATTTGACTTACTAGTAGTTCATGCACTATTATTTTTTCATTTCAAGCAGTGTTGATTTAATGATGAGTAAATATGTTTGCACATATTTAGAAAATGAAAAAGCAGAAGTTAATGTAAATGATAAAAAAATAATAGACAGTTGTTTATTATTATAATATTTATTTATTAAACTTTTTTTCAAGGTCGAGACAAATTTTTTGTACAGCAGCAATTTGTCTGAACAAATATGGGATCATATAATAATGACCGAAAATAAGATTATTTTAATTCTCCTGTGCACTATTATCTCTTCGTTTGTTTGATTTTGTTCTTGTCAATCGTTAAACTGATTTGCTAATTTCGTTGGTTATTGCTACGATAGATATTTAGAAAATGAGGAATCGCAGCATACACACATTTTGTGGCATGTTTTTACTCTATAGCTGATACTTTTAATCGAAATAACTCCAACGAAACGAAAGGGCTTCATAAATTGTAATAATAATTAATCAAATAGACATAGGACAACCATTAATAAGTTTTGACAACAGCTATTAGAAGTGAATGATAGCATGCAACATAATCATTTATATTTCGATATTATGCAACGATTGCACGTATGTCATTGCTGCATAACTATTAGCTCACGACTGGAACTCGACAACTCGTTCACTGACGGGAAATGTGGGTTATGGATCTTCGGCCGCGCTATTTCTCTTGCAATGGTACGTGCCGCCATGTCTCTCGGTACATTTTTGTTTCTGAATCACTTGCTTGCTAATCTTACTAGCTCAATCGACAATAAAACTTTCGCCGTCGACTCGTAGTAAGTACCATTACGCAATGGAAAAGACAATGATGTTTTACATAATTTTCTTATCATATTGTTAGAAAAGACTTGTATGATTTCATATGACATAGATGGCCTTTATTAGTAACATGTAAATCAGCATAATTTCGTAATTTTCTCAGACCGTTGATATTTTATAGCCTTTGGTCTATATCGGAATACTTATTATTTTCGTCTGTCTGTGCACCATCCTAGCGATCGAATTAATATTGTCTGTGCCCATACAAAGATATCGTATATGTATAAATAATTACATTACTCGATCATATTATATATGGCATAACTTCGATTATACCAGTGTGATATATGTTGCGCAAAGGTTTCAGTGAAGGCCTAATAATCTTGTCTAGTTGAGGCATTGCTTATTGAAAAATTGTAAAAATTTAACTTGTCTTGTCGTCTTATTAAATCACACATGGAACGCCTTCATTGCATACTGCGATATTAATGGTACGCTTCTTTTGCAACTTCAGCACTTCCTCTACTTCCACATCAAGGTTATTCTGTTGTCTAGTACTATATAGTCTGATGTCGTTCTGTAGACCTGCACAGTTGTAAATTCAACAGCAAATCATTCAGACCTCCTGAGAATTATTCAAAACTAAATCAAAATGTTCAAACTGGTAAGTGATTCCGAGACACAGTATTGCTAAATCAATTGATTTATCATTATTATCAATGAATTATGGCAAATGAATACATATATTTGTGACATTAAACCGAAATATGTATTTTAATAATGTTCCTAGGTCGTTTTATTTGCTCTCGTAGCTGTAGCTTTTGCTCGCCCAGGATACGTAGCGCCTTTGGCTTATACGGCCCCTGTGATAAGTCACTACTCCGCTCCATTAGTCGTTAAAAGTGTACCCCATGCCATATCTCACCAATCCAGCACTGTAGTTCATGGAGCATCACACGTCATTGCTCCTGTAGTTAGTCACTATTCTGCTCCAGCTATCGGCCACCATTATACTGCGCCAGTAGTCAGCTCTTATGCGTCACCATTGGTTTACGGCCATCACGGCCTCGTACATGGATGGTAGTTTGCAGATTATGAATTATACTTGCCGTTTAATACACCAATTACATTGGACTTATCATAATCAAGAGAAAACGAGATGTCTACAACATTGTAAATATTAAAACTATAATCATATAATGAATTGTCTAGAAAAAAAACATATACAAATAAAATGTTAGTTAATTTATAAAGTTTTTTTAATTATATTACTGATGATTCTAGAGCATTATTAAAAAAGTTAAGAATTAATTTTCATTTTCATGTAATTGAACACAAAGTTTTAATATGATATATATCTGATAAAATGTATTCACTTTGAACATACTTTTTTTCTAAATCAAAAATCTGTAAGGAGATAATGTCATGAATTTCCACAGCAAAGCAATTAAAAGACAAAATGTTGAATTTATTACAATATCATGTATTTACAGCTTTAGTGAATTATAAATCAAAGCGGATATAATCAAAACTAAATTTATTAAAATTACAAATTTTTTATTCAATCTAACGAGTGACTTTAATAATTATGTCACGAAGTGAGGAAAAAGTTTGAAATTGAAAATATATATTACAAAAACTTAATTTAAAAGATGTTCCTTTATCCTTGTTACCAAGTGCTTAAAACTGGCGATGAGTAGCTGACCACTGGGGTGCCGTAATGACTTACAACGGGAGCTGCAGCATAGTGACTGACTACGGGAGCTACGACGGGGGCTGAGCCATGGACTACGGTACTGGACTGGTGCGATACGGCATGGGGAACTGTTTTTACTACGGTTAAAGATGGTTCGGCGTAGCTGACGAGAGGTGCAGTGTAAGCAACAGGTGCTACGTATCCTGGACGGGCTGCTGCCACGGCTAACAAGGCGAAAAGTGCCACCTAATAAAAATATCGTATTTTAAACTACGTCAATCAATAGCACAAAGTTTTACTCAGAACTTAGCCGAAGTATTTTCAAGCAATTTATATAATAATTCGTACACAAGAGTGATAACTAATTATTTTCAATTACTAATTAGTTCAGTGATTTCTACTAACCAACTTGAACATTTTTCTGCCGTTTACTTTCAAGAGGTCTGCTAATAGCACTGATTTAAATTTGACTGTATAGATCTTGAGATGAATTCGATCTATATAGTACTACATCTCGAATTGACCTTGATATAATAGAGGAAGTGATTGCCTAAATCATAAACCAAAACATTGCTAAACGAGTTTACGGTCATTTATACACGACAAATGATTTGAGTGTTTTTGTTAATTTTTTACACATTGGTTTTGAAGATAGTTTAAAGGTAATTTAAAACGGTTTTTATGCTATGCGTGTTGAACTTACAATAGATCATGACACTAATGTGAGACTTTAATAAAAACTACCATTCCTTAGTATGTTAGTAAATATTTAATGTATCATACGTTAGAGTTCAAAAACTCATTGAAATGGGGCAGGTTCGTCAATTATAATTAATAATACATTATTGTATTTACATGAATATGTAATCTCAAATTATATATTTTATATACAATTTTATATATTGATTTTTTAATCAATAAATTGAATCGGACACATGTGACAAAAAATTTCACTTAAACTTTATTAAATCCCTTTTACATGCTTGCCGTACAATAAATTTGACTTAAAGTTTTGACTTATACCAATAAATTTAAAATTCCACATAATTAAAAGAGAAATGACTGAGACTTCTGATGCAAAATAATATATTTTTTATGAAAACTTATATACATTCTATGGAACGATGATGTTAATTTTGAGTATGTGATTGAGTATTATTCTCTTGTCCTCTTGAATCTTCTTGTTTGTCGATCAGTGATGGTAGCCGTAACCGTAGCCATAGCCGTGGCCGTAGCCGTGGCCGTATCCCAAAGGCGAAGCGTAGCTCAGAGGGGTATCATAATGCGAGTAGGCCAGTGGCAAAGGGGCCGCGTGGTAAACGGGGCTCTTCAAAGATACCTGCAATGGAATATATCAAAATATTTTATTCGAATTTAAATGCTCCCGCACGATTTATTAGCTTATTATGCATATATGTACAAATATCAATACACAAATGCCTGTATATATATATATATATATATATATATATATATATATATATATATATGAGTAAGTTCTTGTGGAGCGATACATAAAAAAATAAAAAGCAAAGATTTATAAATTAATCTTTAATCCAAAACGTTTCGACATTGTGTTTTGATGTGTACACACACTAGAAATTAGCACTAACGTTTATACATCTAACTTGTCAACACTATGAATTTTTATCATTTTTTGTATACCTACCAACGTTAATATCCACTGATGATGACTTTAAATTGAATGTCGAAACGTTTGGAATTAAAGATTAATTTATAAATCTTTGCTTTTATTCTTTGATGTATCGCCCCACAATATCTTACTCACACACACACACACACACACACACACACACACACATATATATATATATATATATACAAACGTTTGGCTGTATGAGTACATATATATATATATATATATATATATATATATATATATATATATATATATATATATATATATATATATATATATATATATATATATATATGTATATATATATCTCTTTTTTATACGACGATATTTATTTTTTGTATTTACTATACACATATCAATTTCGTTTTCAATTTATTTCTCAACTCCTATTATACTATTGTCGTGATTGCATTTCATATACACAGTAACGAATTTCTCGTATTACAAAAGTTCAATGGCCATGTCTATCAATATTATGTGGAAAAATCCGCTTAATACCAAATGCCTTTTATTAAAGATTTATTGTAGATATTTGAAATGTCGTTGCTGTTTTATTTTATTTCAAAAGTTTTTGATAGTTGACCTCAACGATTAATCCTTAATTTTTTCAATTTTGCGTTGCTGTATTTCTCATTGTTGTAAGCTCTAATTAAACTCGCTTGATTAATCTTGAAGATTTTTTATTAGCAATTGCCATAGTAAATTCCCATCACTTGTAATTATTACATTATATAACTGTCGTTTATATTGATTCAAGGAACTTTTTCATTAAATGATCAGCGAGTTTAATGACTTCCTTAGCAAGTAGATTTATTGAACGTTCTGCGGGTAATTTTTAGGGCACACTTTCTTTTGCTTCTTATTTTAGATACGAGTTTTAAAATATTTCCATCGTACAATTCGATACAAAAAAAGCTTTTCATTTCGAATCACACTTTCCAGACAGAAAAAATACCATTTATATAGACGGCATTTATATGAATTCTTTCAGCAGGGGTTTTTAGCATTGTTAAATTGCAGAGATAAGCAACCTAAGTACATTATTAATTTGATGTATGTGCTTGAATTGGCTTTAAAAATATTTTTGAAATTTAAATAATCAAATATTATTCTTTTTTTACATTTCCTAACCATAATTATAAACAATTGTTTCCATAAGTAATATTCTTCATAGTCGTTATGAATAAATGAACAATGAATATTAAAATCTATTAAAAATCATTTATGTAGCTTTATCTGCTAGTTATCATCCCATCTTTGAAAAAAAAAATTAGTTTTATTCAAAATTAAGTTTCACAATGTTACTCATCACGTATTTCATAAGGAATGTTTTGTTTGAGAAATAAGATTTAATAAAAATTAAATTATCGTCTGAAATAAATTGATTTTATGCAATCGATGGTGTTTATGGATATTTTCGGACTTTTTGGTTATAGTTTTTGCAATTTCGTATATCGATTCGAATGGAACATAATAAATAGGCATACAATCAAGCCCAAGCCCTAATGGATGAATATTTATAGAAGGTATATTGACCTTGTACGTGTTGGCGTAGGACGTGGCTAACGGATAGCTCTTGACGTAGGCCGCAGGAACGGCGTAAGACGAGGGCGCGCTGTAAACCAACGGGGCGGCACTATAGGCCAGCGGCGTGCCGACGTAGCCGGCGCAAGCAGCCGCAACGCACATCCAGAATATAACCTGGAACACAATAATTGTTAGATACTCATTATTTACACTTAACGATTGACTACATTTATTTTATATACAAAATCATATTGTAAATATTCCTAATAGTTATTAGTTTTTTTTCCTAAAGTTCAATTATTTGGTATAACAAATGAAAATACATTCTATTTACCACTTTGAACATTTTGAAACAACTTTTTACACCTTATTATCACTTCACAACTACTCGTTGTATGAATGCACTTGCTAGATATCGTCATAGTCTTTTATAGTATAGTATGTATTGTTCCTTTTACCTATGGGGGGTATTAGTGGGATTTGTGTTTCCTTAACGTTCAATTTCATTGTATAATATCACGTTCCGCTGATGAATTCTTCATAGCCGTAGCTCGCATTCTCAAGGTTTTCAATTTCTTTTCCCATAAATTATCCGTTCGAGTAAATTTCGTTCCGAATACTGAAAATCACAAGGTTTCCGTTTGCACAGATCGGCCTCCATCATTTGTCTCAGCATTTTCTTCAGTACAATAACATAGTATTCATTTTTTTTCATAGCTGCTAAATATATTATTCTCTAAGGTATTGCCTAACAATAATTGTAATAAATGAACAATAAATACTAATAACTATTTTGTATGCTGAAATAAATACTGAAATTGATTGTCGTGTCATACGACACGATAAGTAATAAACTTACTTATTTTATTACACCTTATTTAATTCTGTAAATCTTTTGATTATTATAGACATTTTCAAAATCTATTTATAATGATAAAAAGATAAACGATAAAAATTGCATCAAAATAAATACATATTTGGCTATAAACGCATGTAACCAGCTGCATTTGTTTCAGATATTCACTATTATCAGCGAAGCATCTGCGATAACTATAAAACATAAAACTCGCCAATTTCTTAGAAATAAAATTTTATGATACGTGAATAACTTTATACATTATTAATATCATAAGCGCAGTAATTATGAATTATTTAACGATGGTTTGATTTAAATTTCTCAAGAGCGACCTTCAGAACTATTCTGACTTTAGATGATCATTCAGTTTGAATGAACTAATTTAATTACATCATTATAACATCAATTTAGAAGTCTCGAAAAACATAACTAATAAATAATGTATATGATACAGAAAATACATGATACAGAACGCGTATATAGGTCGGAAATTATATTTAAATGGCACATTTTATCTTGACAAAGATTTCAACATGCCACTAATAATTGGATTTCTTACATAAATGTACCTTCATCATGAAGGTTGATATAAATGATATATTAATTCTTCAAAGTGCGTATCTGAAAGGAAATCTATACGGTTTTTATTTTGACACATGATCTGTGCCACCAATTTATGAAATAATTGTAAAGAATAATAATTTATAAAGTTTTCCAGAGTGGAGGGCTTGTATTACACGAATGTTATATATTCGACATTTATTAGTATCGACAATTATTAGTATAAATCCAAATTAGCAATGCACGTGAATATGTATTTTTATTTATCTGTAGCAATGGCAATCGATTTCATAACAGAAGCAATAATTGTGGCGCGTGTGTATGGCATTGAAGAATAAATGATTAAGAAAAAACAGACCAAGTACCAATTCACATAAAATTTCCGTTGTATTGTTCGAATTATTTCTCAATATATATGTATATATAGTAAATAATTTATTTGTTTGAGAGTGTTGATTTGGATATAAAGCATTTATTATTATTATAATGCCTATGATACCATTTTAGGTTAACTTAATCCAAGTCTTGAGACATGACGTAGGCTTCCTTTGTTTACACACTCAAATTCTAATTGTGTCCCAGTATGAAACCGCGCTAAAGATAATCTATATTCTATAGTAATATTACAGCATCTGCATTTCTGTTTTCCTTATAAGGACCGTGTTTGAGGTGAGCTCGCATTCCGTCGGTTTTAGATCTTACTTGTTAGTTATGTCGTACGTCAGTCGTCAACCCGTAATCGTATAGTAATGGTTTTGTGGCTTTGCTTGCGATTGCTATTGTGGCGTTCGTTTGTTCAAATTCAGACGCATT